TTTTGGAAATAAATTACCAGCAAAGAATTTTTTGAAGAATCAATACATTTTTGAAAAAAAATTTTACCAGCAATTCATTTTTGAAAAAATATTACTAACACTAAAAATCATATCGGCATTGAATAACTTATTGAGGTTGATATACCGTAAAACAAACCAAACCATAATCACGTAAAGTAGCAAGATGAAATGCGTTCCCCACATACTCAGTGAAAATCAAATTGTTCAAAGTTTTGGGGGTATTCCATGCTACATCTGAAAAAATTGATTGATCCATTTTTGATGTGACCAGTAATGAGAAATGGGTCATTTATGACAATGGTAAACGGTCGGCTCAATGCAGAAAAACGACCGAAACATTTTCTAAAACTGAAATTACTCCAACCGAAGATTATGGCGACTGTCTTTTGGTCCGCCATTGCCATTATCCATGGCAGCTTTCTGGAATCTAATCCGAGCATCACTGCCAATGTTTACTGCCAGCAACTCTATGAAAATAATATTAAGTTAAGCACAAGTCGTTCAGGACTGGTTAATCAACGTGGTCCAATTCTTCTTCATGACAACAGACTGGGTTTATGGAAACTGTGTGGTGGTCCATCATTGCCGTTATCCATGACAGCTTTCTGGAATCTAACCAGAGCATCATTGCCAAATTTTATTGCCAGCAACTCTATGAAAATAATATTAAGTTAAGTAAAATGCCACCGACAGTTTATTCGACGAGTTCCAATTTTGCTTCATGAAAATGCCTGGTCAAATATTGCCAAAAGGATACTCTTGAAGCTCACCGATTTGGGATAGCAAACTCTGCCATATCTACCATATTCGTCTGATCTATCGTCCAGTGACTATTGCTGTTTCATGCATCGTGACATATTTCCCTTCTATGGGTAAATATCAGACAGACTGGGTTCTATAGCTTAAGATGGCAAGCGGTCTAAAAGAAAGAAAACTCTAAAATCAAAACTGTATGTAGCCCTGGCGAAGCACTTACCATGCAGTTAAGGAAAAGATCGGTCGCATTAACCCTATGATCCCAACTGCGGTCGATTCTTTTAGGAAAAGAAAATTCTGAAATCGGACATTATTTTCCCAAACACGTTCAGGCTTCTTTTTTTAACATATTTTCCAGATCTTCCTGAGAAAAGATTACTTACATTTTGCCTATTTAAATTGGTTTATTACTTCAAATCTGTTGTCATAAATGTCTAAACATTCATCTATTTACAACCGTTTCCTTAGTATTTAAATTAAAATATTATATACTCCTCATCTTGACCATAATAAAAGAACAGATGTCATTAGTCTTTTGCGAAAGATTATGCTGACTGCCTGTTTGCCCGCCACTTTGTTTTATCCATGGTAGCTTTATGGAATCTAACCAGAATATCACTGGCGAAGTGTCGGCAACTGGATAAAATGAATATTAAGTTAAGTAAAGTGCCACTAGGCACGGGGTCCAATTTTGTTTCATGACAATGCCCGGTCAAATGTTGCCAAGATAATACAGCAACAGCTCACCGATTTGGGATACGAAACTTTGCCACATCCACCATATTTATCTGATCTTTCGTCCACTAACTGCTGCTTTTTCAAGGATCGTGACATATTTTCCTTCTTCTATGGGTAAATATCAGACAGACTGGGTTCTATAGCTTAAGATGGCAACCAGTGTAAGAGAAGGAAAACTCTGAATTTAAAACTATATATAGCCCTTGCGAAGCACATACTTTTCAGTTAAAGATAGAATCGTTTGCATTGACTCGATGATCCTGACTACGGTCGACACCTTAACAAACTGGGTTCTAAAGCCTTGGATGGCAACCAGTCTAAAAGAAGGAAAACTCTGAATTTAAACATGTATGTAGCCCAGGAGAATCGCATACTATGCAGCTAAGGAAAGGATCGTTCGAATTGACTCGATGATCCCGACTGCGATCGACTCCTTAACAGACTGAGTCATATAGCCTTGATGGCAACTGGCCTAGAAGAAGGAAAACTCTGAATTCAAAACTGTATGTGACCCTGCTGAAGCACATACTTTTCAGCTAAGAAAAAAATCGTTCTCATTGACTCGATGATCCCGACTACGGTCGACTCCTTAACAGACTGGGTTCTAAAGCCTTGGATGGCAACAGGTCTAAGAGAAGGAAAACTCTGAATTCAAAACTATATGTAGCTGTAACGGACCACATACTATGTAGCCAAGGAAATTATCGTTCACATTGACTACGGTCGAGTCCTTTTCGAAAACAAAATTCTGAAATCGGACATTATTTTCCCAACCACGTAATAATTGTTTATCTCAATGCAATTCGGCTTACGGCCATATTACATTGAAACACTGGTTCCTGTACAACCACCAAAGTTAAGCAACGTAGAGCCTTGATGGATAACCACTTGGAAATATCAGGTGCTGTAAGCTTGGTGCAATAATGGCTCGGAATTCTTAACCGTAGATCCGAATTCAAAGTTCAGTCGGATCAGTTATATTCACTTACGCGCAATTATCTTTAGGAAAGGTATAAACTCCCTTCTTCTCGTCCATGCTATGGGTTAATTAGGGATAAGTGCATCACTAAATTATTATTATCTAAAACAAATCTTACTATATAAAAATATTTTTTGGCTTTAAATAACTTTCAAACTGTCGATAAGCCGTAAAAAAACGAATGAATTAAACAATGCAGATCAGGTGAAAGCATATTACGTTTGTAATTTTCTTTTAGCAATTTCTCTCTCAGCATAGGCATTATAAGTAAAGACAATACAGCCACTAAGACTGAAGGTTTTACTGCGTGTCAATGAATATGGCTACTAGAAAAACAGTATTATTTGAACAAAAGATAATGATTGACATTCCAGTTAAATTTTCGAAGAAAAATCAAAGCTGACTGGAAACCATGATTCTGGTAAGATTTCTTAGAAGTTTAAGCATATTATTCTCTGGAATATTTCCCGTGATGCTTGGAGTTCTACGTATTTCATTACGAGCATTTTTTGAGATTGTTAAAAGATGTCGATTTATGTTATTTTTCTATGTGTTGTGTCCCTTAAAGATTTGAGTGATCATGACACTCTAAAATTTCTTGTCCTTTGTAGCTCTTAGTTTATTTTGTCTTTTCGCTGTCTTTCCTAAACCCTCTTCTGCCAAATATTTAGATAAACTCGTTCTTCTATATACTGTGTCCCTTCAGGACGTATGTCATCATGGCGCGTCCAAATTTTCTAACCTTCATAGCTTTAATAAATTTAACCTTTTCTCTACACTAATCTCTGTTCTGTTAAACATTTTAACAGGTTCGTTTAGTAGTCGATTCCACAGAGTAGCTGTCCGTAGGAAATGGTCGTCAGACTAATACTTAATTCTCAGCAAAATAATACGAAGGTTATGTGGGTGGTTTGCTACAATAAGCGTCGCATGTCCATTCTTAGGCGTTAAGGGTAGAACTGGTAAAACTAAGGGATGTATTTCATCTGTACGTTTACCAAGCGATAGAGTAGAGAGTTGCTCGCAACATTTTTGGCTGTGGGAAAGTGGTTGTAGGGAGGAAAATACTTAACCACCTGCTTTTGAAATCTATCGAAACAAGAAAGGGAAGACTGGATAGCTCCAGCCCATATATGGCAGCATTACTCTATATTTGATAGATCTGGTTCCTGTAAAGGAAGGGGAGAGAAATATGTCAGGTATTTACTGAAGCGTTTCAGGGAACCGACCATACTTTCAGAATCATTAGTGCTAGATCTTATGTAAGAGTTCCACTTGAGGTCAGGGTTGGGTTCAAATTTCAACAGGTGCTCAAGGCACGGGGACTTATTGACGGAACTCTGTTAGAGAATGCGAAGGACAAGGCCAGAATGATCAGCGATTGGCCGGATTTCCTCATGGAATAAGACAAAGAAATCGTCCTTTTTGCTGATAGCATTTTATATAGGAGCATGGCGACCCAGAGACGACACAAAACGAAACACTCTTCACTACAGACGAAAAATCTTCTTGGTAATGATGGAACGTCACTAGTTTTTTATTTATATTTTTTGTGGTATTGAATGTGAATACCACAAAATGTCACAGCGAATACCACATTGAACAAAACATTGAATGTTCATTGATGTATATTCATTTTTCTTTCTGTTTAATCAGGAAGGCATTGTACTTCACATGTTTCTGTTTCTAGATTCTGTTCTAAAACGAGCTGAATTTTTGACAGTTTCTTTGCATATTCTGACTTTAAACATTCTTTTCCTTATCTTTGTGGTGGCACTCAATCTTTCCATTGGCAAGTCAACACAACCTTTAAAACTGATTATTCCCGTCCATCCTTCTATTATTATTATTATTATTATTATTATAACCCTATAAATAAACGATGTTAGATTTATTGAAATTGCACTGGAAGGAAAATTTACTGCCAAATGAAGAATGAAAGTTGACTGGTAATAAAAGTGAGAGAAAACAAGAAATAAATAAAATAAATTTGGATATAGAAAGGGAAAGAAAGAAAAACGAATTGAAAAATTAATTTATTAAACGTGAATAACCGACAGAAAATTGGACAGCAAGAGAAAGAAAGAAATTGATATCTGACCAAATTTAACGAAAGAGTGTAGAGAAGTAGAAACATTTAAAAAAATACTAATAATAATAATAAAAAGCCGATTAGAAAGAAAGAAAGAAAGAAAGAAAGAAAGAAAGAAAGAAAAAGAAAACTGAATTTATTGAAAAATGAATGAACACGAAAAAAAAATTGAGAAATATTAACAAAGTCAAAAACGAAAGAAAGAAAATGAACACACAAAAGAAAGAAACAAACAAAAAGAAAGAATAGAATAAATAAAGAAGAAAATAAAAATAAGAAAGAAAGAAGAATAGGAGAAAAATTAACGAAACCAAGAATGAATGAAATGAAAAAATGAAAAAGATTTAAAAAAAGAAAAGAAAATCAAAAATTAAAAACAAAAGAAAGAAAAATCAAAAAACATAATTGTGAAATTTAAAAGAAAGAAAGAAAGAAAGAAAGAAAAAGAGAATGGAAAGATAACGAAAGAAAGGAAAAATAATGCCAGAAAAAATGAAAGAAAAGGAAAAAAAATGGAAGAAAAATGAAAGAAAAAAGAATGAAGGCAAAATGAAAAAGAATGGAAGAAAAAACCAAATGAAAATGAAAGAAAGAAAAAAAGAAAGAATTAAAAAATTCAAAAAAATCTGAAAAATAATAAAATAAAGAATGAATCGAGAAAATATAATGAGGAAACATTAGCAAAAGAAAGAAAGTAGAAAACTTAAAACGAAGAATATGAGGAAAGATACATAGAAAAAACACTGTAACGAGAAAAAGAGAAAATATTAAATGAAAAAAAAAATGATAAAAATGAAAGAATTACTAGGAAGCGACAAAAAGCCCGGAAAACAAAAAAAATGATGCATAAAATTATCTTTTTCCTTCAATTTCTCTAAAAAGCTAAAGGAGGAAAACAAACAACCGTCAATTTCTCATACTATTTCGATTCTTTCCATTAATAAAACCGGGAAGAATAACGGCCCCAGCCAAAAGAGTCAAAGAAACAATGAAGAGACAGGCTTTAAAAAACAAATGATTATCTGCACTGTCACTTATAATCCAGATAAAATATAAAAAAAAAATATTCAATGGTCCTTTCTTTTAGTGCAAGAAACTTTCTTTCAAATAAACGAATAGAAAATCGTGATAGAAAACAGTGAAAGAAAACGACAAAGAAATCTGGAGAAAATAAATTAGAAATACGGAAAGCAAGAGAAGAAGAGCGGAAATGAAAAGAAAAGAAAAACAATAAAATAAACGATGGAAACCTAAAAGAGCAAATTAAAGAAATACTAACTGAATAACGGTTTTGTTATAGAGAATGGAAAGAAAGAAAAAGAAGGAATTGTGAATTAAAGAACAATTAGAATATAATGAAAAGATAAAGAAAAACCAAAAAGAAAAATAAATAAAAACGAAAGAAATAAAGTAACAAACAAACAAACAAACAAATGTGTGAAGGAAGAAAGGCGCAGAAAGAACAGAAGAAATAAATAAGGAAATAAAAATATTTTTTCGAAAGACAGGAACAAACAAGAAAGAAAGAAAGAAAGAAAAAAGAAAAAATGTGGGAAAGAAAGAAAGAAAGAAAAATGTGGGGAAGAAAGCAAAAGAGAAAGAAAAATGTGCGAAAAAAAGAAAGAAAGAAAGAAAAAAAAAATGGGGAAAAAAAAAAAGAAAGAAAGAAAAAAAAAAAAAAAAAAGAAAGAAAGAAAGAAAGAAAGAAAGAAAGAAAGAAAGACGTGGGAAAGAATGAAGGAAAGAAACAGAGAAATATAACATGTAGAAAAAAGAAATATATCATTTGTAAAAGAATGGCGAAACAAATCAAAAACATGTAAAAAGGATGGAAGCGAATGATATCTCGAAATACAGAAAGACAAAGAAAGAAAGAACAATTTGTTGGTAAAGAGAGAAAGAAAAAAGAAAGAAAGAAACAAACAAACAAAGAAAAAGAAAGAAAGAAATCCTTGGAAAAATGATTGAAAGAAAAAAATATTGGAAAGAATGTAGTAAAAAAAGAAATAATGAACTATTAGGAAATAATAAAATAAAGAAAAAAGAACGAACGATTGGAAAAGAAAGAAAGAAAGAAAAAAGAAAGAAAGAAAGAAAGAAAGAAGAACTATTGGAAATAAAGAAAGAAAGAAAGAAAGAAAGAAGTGGAAAGAAAGGCATTGGAAAAAAGAGAATGTGTGTGCAAATAAAGAAAGAAAAATCAAGGAAACAATGAAAGAAAAAAGTTAAAAGTCGAAGAAACTATGAAGAAAAAGCTAAAGGCAATAGCCAATTCTGAAAAGAAGGATCAATGAAAAAAGAAACAAAAGTTAAAAAAAGACAAAGCAGCAAATCAAAAAAGAAAGAAATAAAGAAAGAAAGAAGGAAAGAAAGAAGGAAAGAAAGAAAAAAAGAAAAACTTAAATGACACAATAAGTCATGAAAACTATTAAACAATGGAGAAAATAACGAAAGAATGAAACAAGAAATTCAATGAAAGAAAGAATGATGAAAACAAGAAATGAAAGGAGAAAAAAGACAGAGAAAAAAGCATTAACGGAAAAAAGAAGATAAGAAAAGTTAAATGAATATAAGTAAGGAAGTAAAAATAAGGAGAAAAAAAGAAAAAAAAAGAGAAAGTAAGAGATAAGGTAACATCATTTATAGAAAATATGATAGGTCAGAAGAGATATAATTTATTTATAAATGTTATCAGCGAATAAAACTGCATCAAACGAAAAACCAATAACAAACAAGCAAAAATTATCGGATGTTTTCCCACGTTTTAGAATTTATTTTAAACTAAATTAAATAAACACGGAAAGAAGAAAACAACGTTTTTTTATGGCCAAGTCATATTTGTTCGCGAAAAAATAATTAAATCTAATTGGATAAAGTTAATCAAGAAATGAATCTTGTGTATAAATTCCAAGATCTTTTCGGAATTTATTTATTTTTATCAGATAAAAATGATTTTTTTTTCTTTCTTTTAATGTTGAATTGATCTATCCGAAGTGGCGCTCTCGGACGCAAATGAAAATATCACAAAACGAAAGATGATTAGAAATTATTAAGTTTCATGAATGATCCGATGCTTGAAGCGAATAATTAAGCATGAATATATTTTATAATATAAAAAGCACAGAATGAATTAATATAAGAATAGTCCGATATATATTAACATTTCTACAGGGTGATTGAAAAGTAACTCCCTATTTTATGTATGAGTGGCTAGCCATGAGTCCTGACTTAAGAACCTGTGACTTTCTTTGGAGTTGGTTAAAGAAACAACTCTACTATGCCAAAATAAGTCTTTGGAAGAAACTGAAGGTCAAATACAAGAATTTATATCTTTCATACTATAATCGTTCCAGGTATTATCATTTGAAGCGATTCCCGGGTGGCTGGAGAAGCCATATCATCAACAAAAGGTGACGGCTAATTTCTTTTGTATATACTAGTCTTTTTCACATTTTCCAAATGATTTACAGGGTGATTAAAAAGTAAGTCACTAATTTTATGTATGAGTGGTCACCAGGAGTCCTGACTTAACACTTTGTGACATTTTTTTTTCTTTGGAGGTGGTTAAAAGACAATGTCTTATATAGCAAAGCTAGATATTGGAAGAACTTGAAAGGCGAATACAAGAAATTATGTTTTCCATATGACAAGAGTTCTTGGTGAAATCAGTTGACCCGATTCCTGGGCGGCTCGACAAACTGGTAGCAAAATCTGGTACCCATATCGAATTTTAAATAAAATCACAACGATTTCTTTCATATCTCTTGTAAAAATTAGAGTTAGTTAATAAATTTTAAATATTTTAAAATGGGGAGTTACTTTTTAATCACCCAGTATAAATGAAAACGCGCACACGTATTGATACAGATACGCCACAAACACATACACACACACACACACATATATATATATATATATATATATATATATATAATATGTGAAAATATATAGAAAATAGGAAGGAACTGGTTAGGTAAATAATCCAAAGTTCCTTAGTATTTTAGTTATTATTTTAAAAATAGTGCTCGATACAAAAGTAGAGCATAATCAGACCACTTATGTCGCGAGTTGGAATCATATTTTAAATAAATTATTATATATATATATATATATATATATATATATATATATATATATGTGTGTGTGTGTGTGTGTGTGTGTGTGTGTGTGTGTGTGTGTGTGTGTGTGTGTGTGTGGCGTCGCGTCAACTGATATCACCTGGAACGTTTATAGTATGAAATACATAACTTCTTTTATTTGACCTTCAATTTCTTCCAAAGACTTATTTGGTATAGTACTGTCGTGTTATCTGTGTTCTTGAACGATTGTCACGTTTAAAAATATCCTTTTTCATCCAACCAAAAATTACTCCCCGCGTAGCAGACATTATATCCTTTAAAAAAAAGATAAATTCGACAATTATTATTATTATCCGGTCGTAAAAGCTCGATCATTTATTGGATCAAATTTCACGGTCCAGCATCAGTGTCGGCAGTTCCTTAGGATGGAATTCTGTGAGATGTCTGGACAATGTCGGTGGTTGCTGGGCTATCATCTCGTCAATCGACATAAGTAGGTGTCTAGAGCAGTAGTTCATTCGCGAGTTCTTGTCTTGCTCGCCAGCAGTGACATGCAAAGCAAATTCTGCGTTTCCGTAAGATTGTAAAAATATAAGGAATGAATCGATAGAGCTAAAGCTGTCAAATATAGAAAAAGAAATAAATGAGATATCAAGTATAGCTCTCAGCATCTGAGTGTAGGTTCCATTAAGCTTAGACTCTAGAGTTTTAGATAATATACAAACAGTGGTGTCATACATTAAAATCTATTCTACAATGGCGCGAAAGAATCTCTGTTTGAGATTGTCTGGTAGATCAGATTTCCATATTAATTCCATTTATTTCAATATGGCCCAGACTTAATTAATGCTAATTTTCATATCCTTTTTTGACAGAATTTAGTTCGCTTCCTAGTTATGCAAAAGATTCGACAGATTTTATTTACTCAGAGTTAGTATTCACCCTTACCGGTTGAAGCATAGAGTTAAACATCTTTGGCAGCATTTTCTGTGGAATTGGTGAAGGCAAAGAGTTTTTCCAACAAAGTGAATTGTGTTTAACTTAAAAGAAGTAAACGCCGCCTGGTTCTCTGAAATACCCAAGACAAAGAGATATTATTCAGGTGACCTAGCATTTCTATCCAACACTCTAAATGAAGTGAAGGAATTTTATATCTAGGATCAGGTTGATGTTCTCGCAAAAAAAGTCATAGATATTAACATAGCGATTGCATAGACAGCACTATCCAAAATGAATACCATCTTGAAATGTCTCTTTGATCCTTGGTGTTGCACACTACTAGCAGAGCTGCCATGTTTACACTGTAAGAGCTGCAAAAAAACTGGCACGTTCAAGCTCAAATTTTGAGGGATCATATAAAAAACAATATCCGTCTCCAGCATGATTCGATCCTGCATCTACCTAGGCAGGAGAAATTATTATTAGATCAGATGTGCTTATACAGACTCAGCTACGAATTTTCCCAGAAAGCGCACATATTTCCACTAGCAGCATGGCCTGACGTTGCCCATGCATGATTCAAAACTCGTACGACTCATACAGCAATCGCTATCACTTGACTTAAAATATTTTTGCGCATCCTTGCTTTTAAATGAGTGCCCTTTTCCGTGCTGATGTTGCTACATGCCTTACTTCTTGCCTATCTCACACTGCGTATTTTTTCGAAGCTCTACTAAACATTAAATCTGTTACGAAAAAAGAACTAAACAAAATGGACACAAAACTATGAGCTTTAAAAAAAGGACTCGTAATTGGAAAAACCGAATGAAAAAAGAATGTTAACAACAAATACTTTTTCACACCCACCCCAGTTCTGAGGAATCAGAATCAACGTTGAGTTAAATTAAGCGAATGAGCCAATTGGAGTAAAGTGCCATGTAGATTTAAATTTTTCCCACTTGTGACGAATGCAGCTATCGATTATTTTTGCATGCTAGCATGCTAGTTAACATTCGTGTCAGTCAGCTGTTGGATCTGACGCTGGACAATAGATTCTTCCTGCCTATTCGTGGCAGCCAGCTATAGGCTCTCACTCTGTCCAGTAGAAAATGGCCGCAAACTACATGAAAACTGCCGTAGAAGCATGAAAATATCGATTATTTCCACTATCGATGGGAGTTGGGAAATGCAAAGTTGGTATTGGCCTTCCCGACAACTTGGAGCATGTGCATGTAAAATTTGGTGCAAATCCGTCGAAAATTGCAGCCGTGCATTCGTTACACACACACACACACACACACAAACACACACACACACACACACACACACATATCCTGCCTTTTATAGATAGAGATAATACGATTTCTCAAATATTCAGGTCAGCAGTCATAAATAAATAAATATACTGTTTAATAAATAAACGAAACGTCTGATAAGATAGCAAAAATAATGTTTAAAACTTGTCGGGTTAATAAATAGAAATATATTTTGTATAATGTTGCATGACGTATTTGCATATTTTAGTGCTTTTATCGTATTTTCTTGTGATTTACGTAGTAAACTACTAGTATACGAGTTGAGGTTACTGGCCCCATGTCAAACACGTCATGTGATATTCAACACATTGTGGAGACAGTTTGAATCAGGCTTACGCAACTTAAGAGATTAACATACCATCGACACAGAGATTAATCCAGTCAGTATGAATCAGTTCCTGAACACATGCATTGTGAATTTGATGCAAAA